TTGGACTGGATGGCCCTTGTAGTCTCTTCCAACTCTCTGATTCTATGATAGATTTTCCCTGTCAATGATAAGGTGCACTTTAACAACGCTTTGAGGGCAAGGCAGTGACGAGATGGAGAGGGCATCATGTGATAAGTATCGCTAAAGAGCTATTTTCTAATTTTAATGGCAGTTTAATAGCTGCGTGTGATAAAGCCCTAAGTGTCTAGTTGTGTGGTTTCTTTCTGATAATCACAGTCCATAACATTTAGGCACCATTTGAGAAATGCACTGTAACTGCAGTACTTACCTGTATGTGGTATCTATGCTATAATTGACTCCTGTCAGTTCACTTTCTGTCATAAAAGAGGGAATTGTTGTGTTTGCCTCCCACTTAGTCCATTCAAAGAGGCCAGGTTCAATACGAATCTTAATTCTTTGTTCCACCTGAAGCCCTGCAAGAATCAAGGTAAGTATTTTAAAAGTAATCATGGAGAATCCTTCATTTAGATCTGATTATTGGCGTCAGTAAACATATTTATTTAAAATATATATCCTGAGACACGCATCCCTTTCTGAAACCACTTGAAGTTAGAACTAAAGTGAGCTATGTTGGAGAGATTCATCTGAAATGTGTTGTTGTTCAAAAGGAATCCAAAGTGAAGTAGGGGACTGCGTATTGTGGCAGGAAAGCATTTCAAAGGGATAGCACAGAGTTTGGCAAAGTTACTTTCTTGCTCTACAACTCCCAGAATTTTTCTCTCCTCCAGCCAGTAGAATCTCTGCTGAATAGGGGCCTTTAGAAGATGTATGGTAGCATAGTGGTTTGAGTGTTGGACTGTGACTCTGGAGAACCAGGGTTCGAATCCCAGCTCTGCCATGTAAACCCACTGGGTGACCTTGCAAAAGTCACACTCTCTCAGCCTCAGAGGATGGCAATGGCAAACCCCCTCTGAGGAAACTTGCCAAGAAAACCTCAAAAGATTTTCCTTAGGGTCTCCATAAGTCAACAACAATTGGAAGGCACACATCAACAACAAGTCCCAAAAAAAAAAAAAGTTTGTCAAGTTCTGGGACTGAGCATGTTCACTGGGCAAAGAATGCTAACTGACTGTGACTGAACCATGATGGGAGGGAGTAAGGAACAGATTGGGATCAAAAGAAAGACCCCATACTGCAATGTGTGTAGCAAACAGTTTCTGCTGTGATCAACTGAGTAGTGTCAATGTTAAACCTACCTTCTAACAAATGCTGAGCAGTCTGGATACAATGCAGTGCTGGAGAAGAATATACACAGGAAACCACCACTTCCTTCTCTAGCAGAGCTTCACCTGGCAATGGAAGTAAATAAATAAATAAATAAATAATCCTTTCAAGTTATTTATAAGAGGAGAGATTATGCAAGACGTGTTCTCACAGACACCCATTTTTTCCATGTATTGGTTTGTGGGGCATTTTTATTCCCAACTGAATTGCTTTCTTATATTTTTAAAATACAGAATCTGAGTAGATGGGCTAAAAAGAAGTGTTTTCAGAATGGAATAAACTGCAGGGAGCAGCTGCTACAGTCTACATGTTAATCTTCTTGGCATATGTAACTCTCATTACGAAGCTCTGTAATAGATGCCTGGGTAAACATAGCATGGGCTAGAAAATAATGTAGACATATTGATTTCTGTGTTATTATTTGCTGGGTTATTTTCTTTTCAGGGCTCTTTAAGGCAGCTGAAGCATTGCTCTTTCACTATTACTTGGAAGGGGAATTAAAGTGGACTTTTTACACGATCACGTAGTACTGTGTTACATTATATCCATCAGTTCTCCATGATGCTCCCATTCTTCCACGTCCCCGTTACACTCCAAATGAGGCATGAATATATACTGAACCTAGAAGAACTACTGAAAACATCCTCTGCTATAAATAGTAGCACTTGCATAATCAAGACCTATGATTGCACAAAACAGTAAAAAATAACTTACCTGAGGAAAAGAACAATAATTGCTGGTTGTTAGTTCCACCTAGAGAATGTGGTAGCCCCATAAATGAAATGCCACAATGCAGGAAGGCATTTAGATCACTGTGAAAATTCCCTCTATGGTTTTATAGAGGGAAACAGCTGCCTCCAGTAGCAAATTCTGAGGGGTAGGCATGAAGGATTGGGAGGAAAAACTGTGAGTACCACATAGCTAATTCTGCACCCCCAAAACTGCCCTGCTGCCCTTGGATGCAGTGAAGGAGCCAGGATCATCTCTGGTGCTGAAGTGAGATTGAACTTCCTATCTGATTGGTTTCTGTACAAGGACACCATCTTGTCTTTCACTTCAGACTATAAAATCTCACACAGAGGGAAATGACAAGGGAGTTTAAAACCAAACATTCTATATGGTGACAAATACCACTGGTATTGAAGTTTATAAAAAAATTCCTTAATATTTTAACTTTTTTCTCCAGCATTTCTCCCATATAAATTGGCTAAAATGGGAAAAACTCAGGATTATCAGTGCTGGAAGTGCAAGAAGAAAAGTGGATCTCTTTATCATTTATGGTGAGGCTGTATGAAAGCAAAATAATTTTGGGACAACATAAAACAAAGGATGGGTGAAATTTAAAAATTAACTTGAAAAAAGACCCTTAGATGTTTTTATTGGGTATCATCGAGGACCAGGATTTGGAAAGAAAACATGGAAAACTTATTTTTAATCTTATATCGGCTGCTAGAATAACATATGCAGCGAAGTGGAAGCCAAAGGAGATACCATCAATTCAGGACTGGATGATGAAAATTCTAGATATAATGGAGATTAAGAGTGATAGTGAGGATGCGTTTAAGAGAGACTGGAAGGGATTCGTTGAGTATTGGAAACAAACAGGAGATCTAGTAAATACGATAGGTTTAGAGTAAAATATATGTAATATAAGTTAAAATGAGCGCTGTGTTAGAGTATTAAAAATGGATAGATTACGGTATGCTATGAAATGATAGATTAAAATAGTGATTTAACAAGTATATAATGCATGACATGGGATGTTAAAAGGTAGGTTTAATAGAAGTAGTAGTAAATCAGGCTAAATTGCAAGGTATGTCAAGTTTAGGAGGTGTTTTTAAATGTTAATGTATATTTGTTGTTTGTTGTATGTTGTATGCAATATCCTTGTAGTGTCTTATTGTATTACTTTTTGTTTCTTTTTTCTTTTTTTGTCACAGTCTGTATGTATCTTTGCTTTTGTCTTCTTCTAATCAACAAAACTATTAAAAATAAAATAAAATAAAAACCCAAATATTCTGTTTCTTCAGCTTCTGATCAATGTAGTAACTAGCTTACCAATTAGTCTAGACTGGAATATACCACAGGATGATAGAGGAGGATCATCTTCAAAGGTGTTGATACCATCTTTTCGGTTTGGTAGATTGGAAGGGAAATTGAGGTCTGCTCGATAATATTTTCCTGAAACAAAACAGAATCCTTTACTTTCATAAATCCCCAAATGGCCACATCTTTTGATGATGTTTCTGGTATATTTATGGTCTAGCTGCTGCTGCTGCTACCTCAAATGTCAGAATGCACATTTTCCCCAATGTCAGCTGATGAAGTAGAGATAGTTTGTCATGTTCTTCATTATTGCTCCTTCTATAAAGATATTAGGGCCTCATTTATAACTCCTCTTATTCAAAAATTTCCAAGTAGACAGGATAAATTCTATATAGAATATCTCCTTTCAGACCAAAATGGGCAGATAACTGATAAAGTGGCCAGATTCTATGCAGCTGCTATTGTCTGTCGCAGAGGTATAATGAAATAATTACCAATTATTTGGTCTTATATTTCCCTTCTAATCCCTATTATAGTGGATGAAGTGCTAGTATATTACATTTGGCTGACTGCCCTCTATGTTGAGTATTATATAGATTATCTAGATTAAACAGGTAGATGTAGAAGAGTTAAGATATGTTGACACTACAAAACAGGCATATGACTAGTCTTCATTGCCCCTAAAAAATCTCTACAATTATGAACAGAAGTATCCAAACAGATTATATGGTGACTGTGAAGCAGCTTTTTAGCTCCATAGAGTTAACAAAGGCCTTTGAGGTAGCTCTTAGTTGTACAAACTAATGTCCTAAACCACGAATAGATAGCATTCTTATTTTATATTTGTTCAGTTGTCCTGTAATATATTTTTGTAATTTTGGTAATTTCTGTAAATCATTTTATTTATTTATTTTTACTATGCTGGCTATGTACCATAATAAAATTCTATTCTATTCTATTCAGCTGAAGCATTATTGTGTAAAACAAACAAAACAGTGCTGCTGAACTGATTCATGCTGACACCATTTCAGATTTATGTCAAATATTGGGAGCTTATAGGGAGATTGTTTCCATTTCCAGTATGTTTTGCATGGACTGGACAGGCTGATTATTTTGTTCATTACTGTTACCATAATATATTGCTTAAAGTCAAACCTGCTGTATCTGATCCCATAAGTGTTACTTACCACTGGCAGTAAAACACTGCTGAAGCCAAGACTTCCCAAACACCTCATCTATCCTTTCACCATGACGGATCACCAAAAGGCCTCTTTGAGCTGGGCTTTTCCCAAAAAACTGGAAGAAATTGCATTACAGTTCTTATTAAAATGACTGTTGCTGGAAGTGGGAAAAGGAGCAGCAATGCTTGCACTGAGGACTATGTGCCGATTGTACTATCTGGTAGATACAGATAGTTCAGGCCACCTCTGTGTTCTTCTCTTTCCCTTGTTTGATCTATCTCTTCTTTGCATAGAACGATACTCTTAGGGATTACTTCACTTCCTTCTCCCTCAGTCCTTTCTTTTGTCACTTCATGTAGCTGGCTGGCTCTTTCTCTAGATAGAGTTCTTAAAAATGATATTTCATTTCCTTTTTACTCTAAATGGTTATTGTTGTCTAGTCAATTTCCACATTTCACGTGCATCTCATAAAAGAAGCATTTTGATAATGCAAGCTCTGATGCCACAACAAACTACAAATTTCAGGATGCCAAAGGATGGAGCCATGACAGTTAAAGCAGTGTCAAACTGCATTAATTCTGCAGTGTGAATGCAGCCTAGGTTACACATTCATAACTGCTCAATAGGATGCCAGCCACTGTTTTCAGCAAGGGTGGGGAATGTGTGCTTCTCCAAATATTATTGATCTGCAGTTCTCATCATCCTTCACTACTGGCTATGTTGACTAGGGCTGATGGGAGGTGCAGTCCAACAGTATCTGGAAGGCCACACATTGCCACTTGTGTTCTACAGTTTGGTTCCAGCTTCTGGCAAATGGAGGCATATGTCATCTAAACACGAGTAATTCATTTATCATGACTTAGTAGTTGGTATGTAGCTAGCTAGATGAGAGTCTCATAGGTTTTTTCATTTATGGACTTTTGGGTGCTTGTTTTTATGCCAATCACACCAACAAGGACAAAGTTTCAATTAGAAGCACAAAACAGAGGCATTATTAACTAACATTAATCACAACATAATTAATAATAGCTAGTTATTAATACATGATAATTAACTTAACAAATTATTGGCTAATTTTCTCAAACTGATTAAAAGAACTACTCAAATGGTAACAACTCAAATATATCATATAAAGTGGTCCAAAACTTTGAAAATTAATTCTGAAAACAGGCTTCTTTGTACTTCGGTAGTACTTGGACAACTGTTATCCTTTAATCTACAGGACATGAGCTAAAACCCCAAAACTGTACAAAAATATACTTGCATATATAACTGTTTGTATAGTGATTTCACTTTCATTAGTCTTTACAGACCTATCATAGTGTAAAATATTCAAAATCCAGTTACCTGTTGGGCAGACATTTTGGCTACATTCCTTGGCAGTGGA